TCAGCACTACACACACCTGCCTGCCCTCAGCACTACACACACACACACCTGCCCTCAGCACTACACACACACCTGCCTTCAGCACTACACACACCTGCCTGCCCTCAGCACTACACACACACAGACCTGCCCTCAGCACTACACACACACCTGCCCTCAGCACTACACACACACGCACCTGCCCTCAGCACGACACACACACCTGCCCTCAGCACTACACACACCCGCCTGCCCTTAGCACTACACACACACAGACCTGCCCTCAGCACGACACACACACCTGCCCTCAGCACGACACTCACACACACCTGCCCTCAGCACTACACACACACGCACCTGCCCTCAGCACGACACACACACCTGCCCTCAGCACTACACATACCCGCCTGCCCTCAGCACTACACACATACACCTGCCATTAGCACTACACACACACCTGCCCTCAGCAACCCTGTCCCCAGCCTTGTGTGCAGGCCATCCTGTCCCCTCCCTTCTCAGGGCCCTTCGGAAGTCTCCTTTGCTCACTGCTCTATATGCTGGAGTGCGCAGGGCCAGTCTTCTTCAGTTTTCTTCACTTTCATTTCCTCCTAAGATGATTTCATTCATGTCTATGGTGTCCAAGCTACTCATTCCTAAATGTGTAACTGCAGCTCTAACTCGCCTCCGAATGCCAGACCCTCATAACTAATTACCTGCTGACGTCCATCTCCGTTTGGATGTGTCTAACAGCATCTGTCCAGACAGAGGTCTGGTCCGTCCTCACCCCTCATCCCTACTCCTCCTGTCCCTCTCCTTTCAGTCAATGGCCCAATACCCATTCAAGTTGCTCAGGCCACACAACTAGTCATGATCACAGATTCCCCTTCCTCCCTCACCTCTCTCTATACCCAATCCACTGGCAAGCCTTGCCCCCAAATATATCCCTAATCTGACAGACTGTCTCCACTGTCCAAACCAGGTCAAACCACTAGCACTTGGTGCCTGGATTTCTGTAGGAGGCCTTTTCTCTCTCCTCTACTCTGCCCTCCCCATGATATTCCAAGTGATCTTATTAAAAGTATAATTACAGCATATCATTGCTAAAACTCTATAATGATTTCCCAAATCACTCAAAATAAAACCTAAGTTTCTTGCCCATGGCAATGTTCCTCTGATGTCCAACCTCTGCTGCACACAAACCTTCTCTTCCTCCAGGCTTCCAGAAATGCCGACTCCTCTTCTTTTTTCTTCCTCATCATCTGACTAGTGAGAAAGAGGTTTTCCATTCTCTCCACTCAAAGTAGCTGACCCCTCCCCCAGCTCTGCTCACTTCCCAGCTTCACGGGAAACTGTGTCATGAATGCGCTCCAGGAGGCGGGGACTGTCTGCTGGGTCCCTGTGGGGCTCCAGCCTTTAGCACAGCGTCCGCCACATTCTAGGTACTTCCTACACTGGACTGAATGGCAGCAGGTTGAGCTTGAGCCAAATATCCAAATGTTAAACTTGAAAAGGTTAGTCAGCTTTATTTATTCATTTTTATTTATTTATTTATTTAGAGACAAGAGTCTCATTCTACTGCCCTTGGTAGAGTGCTGTGGCATCGCAGCTCACAGCAAGCTCCAACTCCTGGGCTTAGGCGATTCTCTTGCCTCAGTCTCCCGAGTAGCTGGGACTACAGGCACCCCCCACAATGTCTGGATATTTTTTTGTTGCCGTTTGGTCAGGGCTGGGTTTGAACCTGCCACCCTTGGTATATGGGGCTGGTGCCCTACCCACTGAGCCACAGGCACCACCTGTTATTCGGCTTTATTAAGTTGTTTTTCTGATTTTTAAAATTTATTTTTTTCAGGAAAAGAGTCATTGTGAGAAAAAGAAATTTATTAATATACATTTGGTAGTATTAAACCAAATTTCCTTGTGGATGTTAAGCATTTTTAAATCTAAAACAATCTTTCAAATTTCTTTCCTTTTTTTTTGAGACAGAGCCTCAAGCCATCCCCCTGGGTAGAGTGCCATGGCACATGGCATCACAGCTCACGGTAACCTCCAACTCCTGGGCTCAAGTGAGTCTCTTGCCTCTGCCTCCCAAGTAGCTGGGATCACAGGCGCCCGCCACAGCGCCTGGCTATTTTTTGGTTGCAGCCATCGTTGTTTGGCGGGCCGGGCTGGATTCGAATCAGCCACCTTAGGTGTATGTGGCCGGCACCTTAGACACTTGAGCCACAGGTGCCGAGACAATCTTTCAAATTTCATTGTGAGCCAACAACTTACTTTATTTTGAAAATCTACTACTTGGATCACTTACTAACGTTACAGGGTGCTGAGAATTACTGTACAAATAACCGATCAGCAAATAATTCCACTGGCACAGGCAAAACAGGATGTATTACTTCAGGCAACTTGTTTGGACCAATTTGTCTGGGATAGAATAACCAATTTTGGGGTGATTTATGTATCTTGGTGTTCTTTTTCTTTTACCTTCATGCCTACTTTTGGTCAGTTTTGTTGGAGCACAGTCATTCTATTTTTCTTGTTAGCTGCTAGGAATGTTCAGGAAAGGGAACCGTTTAAGTCAAAATTCTTTTTTTTTTTTTTTTTTTT